TACGGCGGCCATACGAAGCTGATCGGCGGCGCGCGTAAAGAATGCAGCAAAAGTACTACAAATCAGTTTCTCATAAACTAGTAAAAACAGGTCAGCGCCAAAGCAGGAAAAAATCGTTGTGGGTTCCAACATGCGGGTAAAACCTGGCTGTTAGTACTGCTGTCAACATAAAAATGCAATGAACCAAAAGTAAAAAGCATTTCATAATTTGCCAAGCTACGCTCTTTTTAGAAAATGTCTCAAGAAATAGTCCTTACTGCCTGAATGTGAACCTGACATCATACAGGTCAGAACGCATAAAGTTTGGAGTTAGTTTCAGGAAGATAAAACATCTCAAATAAATTCACCGTGGCAAGAATTATGAGGTTTTCTAAAGAATCCCCTTAAAATTTTAAAGCAAATTATATAAATCAAACGGGTATCGCATTACCTAAAGATTTTTAGTTCGAAAAAAAGCACATAGCTTTACAGTTCAATTTTACACAACACAAACAAATAGTTTGCATCACTGCATTTGTTAGAGGGATCAAACTTGAAAAAAAAAAAAAAAAACTTTCTTCGTTATCAAAACTTTAGAATTGCAACACACACCAGTAAACTTACAAAAATGTCTTCAGGTCGGACCGTGTGCATCACAGCATTACGTGTGCTAGAACAGTGTGCGATAATCTTCGGAGTGCAAAACGTAAAGTGCAAGAAGATGGTGGTGAGAGGGCAGAGAAGAAATAAAACAGGTACACAGCCTAGCTTAGCAGTAGGAAATTTAAAAAGAAAATTTCAGTTTAAATCATCTCGGAAGAAGGCTCGCAAGGCAGGAGCGGCAACAGTGAACGACAGTGCACGAATAATGGAATGGCACCCACGAATGATTCAGGGGCTACCACAGCAAATTTCACATTTTTCAGGTGCTAGAACATATGTAAATTGACTGACGATGATTTCTAAATCAATCAAAAACAGCAAAGCTTCCTTGCTCCTGGACTTATCGTTGATGCGTCAGATAAAGCTGCCAATTTTAAAAGAAGTTATATTCTTGGTAAAGATACCCCAGAAAATTTCTGCAACGCGTGGATAATCCTTAAGATCCCGACTTATGTAAGTAGGTAAAATTGTTCGGCAAAATTTGCATGCACCTCAGTTTTGCTGCTCGATATTTTAGAAACGCATCTGCTACTTTTATATGAAAAGAAGTAACGGAGTATTGGTGTGGTCTGTACGGTATATTATCAAGGCGCTGTATGTCAGAGAGAAGATTTGAGCTGTTTTTGTGGAAAGAATGAACAACAGACTGATAGACTGACAAGATGGATTACTGAATTACACCCGATCAATGTTAAAAGAAAAGACCTTAACGGCGCTAAAAAAGTCGGATGAAAGGGCTCAAAATGGGAGAAGACGGAGAAGCTTCGAGCTGAAAAAATGGCGAGACGAAACGCGACAACAAAACAACAACGGGTCAAAGCATTAAAGTCAAATTCACTTATCCATCAATTTTATGAGACTTTTGTTAATTTATTGTCAATTATGAGATGCAATATATGAAAGTGCAGATAAGCCAAGATTCTGGTCTTTGCACAGAAATCTAAGCACTTTATCAAATGCTGAAAAAAAAATACCTTGCAAAAGGGATAGCTCGATCGCGGCATTGCAAGCCAACAGCAACACCAACAAGATTTTGCTCCGCGATGAAGCACTCGATAAACTGGTCGGGATGTTTCCCTAGCAGCTTTTCACTAAATGTTGAATTTTTGGTATCGCCATCTAAGCCAATTATACGCGAACACACATCGCCCAGTTTTGCCAGAGCTGTTCCATATGCCATACGTGTTGCCACCTATACTACCAAAATAACAGATAATGAAAAGAAAAAAAAAAAAAAAATAATTGGCCAACGCACGGGCTGCCCATTGCGAAGATGCGTTTTTTGCATAGTTTCCTGCAGCTTTTGTCGCTACCGGGCACTGGCTTTTTCGGCAAATGCTTTAGCTAAACAAATTAAGACTGGCCGCCAGAACTGCCGGGAAACATCCCCCTAAAATTTCAGCCTTCTAGCTTTCCTGGCTCCTGAGTTAGCAACTTACTGGAAGAAAACTTCCATGGGCTCGCGCGTGGTTATCACGCATACCCGAAGGCTGGGTTTGAGCTCATTAATACCTATTCGGATGGGGAACATTACCCTCTGGTTACATTATTCTAGCATCTCAGATCCCCGAGTTATGAACTTACTCAGAAAAATTTTGGCAGGCCCGTATGCGGATATCAGGCTTATCCGGGGGCTGGGTTTGAGCTCATTAATACCTACTTGAACGGGGAACATCCCCTTAAAATTTCAGCCCCCAAGCACTTCTGTTTCCTGAGTTAGCAGCTTACCCGTAAAAAATTCTGGCGTGCTCTCACGTGGGCACCACGCGAGTAATGGCGCCCATTTTGGGGGAAAAGACCGTACGTGCATGTAGGTTAAGCTCCCAAAATTTCAGCCCTGTAGCTTTTGTAGGTCTTGAAATGAAAAAGCGTGACAGACACACACACGGACACACAGACATACACACAGACGACCCCTCGTCAGTATGCGTTTTCTGCATTGCACAGCCGCAAAAAAACACATAAAAACTTTCTCACTGAAATCTATCGCCCTCACTGGAAAGCAGTGATGAGGACAAGCTTAACTCGCTCATTTCGAAGACTGACGAATTCTACAGCAGACTACAGAAAATGTAAACGAATCGAACACGTATGTGTCTTAAAAACAAGTATCTTTCCCCCAAATGGCGCAAGTACTGCCTAGAGTTTGCCCATCCACCAACATTCTATCTTCACCGCAAAAAGACTGACTCAAACAGCAACTACTCTTCAAACTGAGATGTAACGCCACCTTTTTAGAGCTGCCCGAGTTGCTAAACCCTCATGTAGGCATCAGTCGCTGATATAAGGCGCCCATCAACTGTCAGCATGCCACTGGACTTTGCTCCTCGTATGGCCCCAATGAAATCTTGCACGCCA